ATGCTGACCTCATCCTTGGCTTCGGCATTACCGCCACTCTTCAGTAAGACACTCGCCACCTCCACATGGCCGCTGGAGGAGGCATTGATCAATGGCGTCATGCCACACTGTACGCCGACGCACCACCACAACACAACCAAGACAGCCGACACATGTGCGGCGGCAGCATCGGCGTGACCCACAAGATCACATTGAGAAAAAGCAGGGAAACAATAGTGGTCCTCGATCCAGACCCAGAACAAGAGGGAAGCAGGAGGATCAACAAAGAGAAGCAAGGGGAAAAAACGGTGGCGCTGACCTTGTCTTGGGCGTTGGCATCAGCACCATGTTCCAATAGCACTCTCACCACCTCCACATGTCCAAGCGAACAGGCTCCATGTAATGGCGTGACATCATTCTGCGAAGTGATTCACCACCGTACCCCCACGGACGTCGAGTCGCATGCGTGACAGATGATGAAATAAATCTCAAAACCAGCTGGCAAGCCAGCACCGCGTGCAGAGCAACAGGGAGAACAAGCCAGCCAAGATTAAAGACGTGGCAGGGAAAATGGGAGTACTGACCTCGTTCTTGGGTTCGGGATCAGCGCCATGCTTTAGGAGCGCTTCCACCACCCCGACATGGCCTTTGGTGCAGGCATAGTACAGTGGTGTCGTGCCACCCTGAAGGTCGATTCACACAAACATCACCACCAGATGTGACCAGGTTATTACCATCGTGAGTTCCATCTTCCATCTATACACCAGCTACACGTCGAGAAGAGGGAAGTGTTGCGCTCGAAAGGAGAGTAACAAGAAGGGAAAGGGACTGACAATGTTTTTGGCGTCGGCATCAGCGCCATGCTCCAACAACACGTTCACCACGTCCACACGACCTCTGCCGCAAGCATAGTGCAGTGGCGCAAAGCCACCCTACGTGTTTACAGCATCAACGTGCCCCATCATGTTGAGATGACGCTGGTACCACCTGCTTCACAAGCAGGCGCATGCAGACCAACGACAAAAGCGTTCTACATCATACAAAAGAAAGCAGTCGGGGGATGATACTGACAATATTCCTGGCTTGAACATCAGCGCCATGCTCCAACACCACCACGATCGCTCCCAGATGGCCATTGTCGCAGGCGTAGTGCAGTGGCGTATAGCCAAGCTGTGGGCACCACCACACGCACACATAGTAGCACACATGCAGCTTTTCGTCAAACCAACATCGGGACCTGAATGGCACGTTCCCAGAATCAGTGACACAGACACCTCAACCAACACGGCACGCACCTCTTCATCTTTGTACACGGCAGCGGCTTGAATGCGCTGTTGATCCCAGCTTTCCAACAACCGCAGCGCCGCTTGTGGATCCGATGAATCACACGCTCTGTGCAGCTGGTATCCATCGTCCAAATTCATGGTCACGGGTCGCCATCAAACTCCTATAGCACTTTGAACACAGACCATCATCAGTGTCATCCAACACAATCTTCACACAAAAAAGAGTGACATTGGACAAGCGCAAAAAAAAAAAAAAAAAGAACCCCCCCCCCCTCCAAAACGGCAGCCGGCCAACCAACAGTAGAGCCTAGCTCACTCCCTTTCTGATCAGCTGAATCAAAGCGCAAGCTGCTCACCCTGGACCGCTGTTCTTGACGAGATGCACGCATAGCGCACGGCGTTGACCAGCGTCTTGTGAGGCGAGGGAGAGGGACAATGCTCAAAAGGCAGCGTCCGACGCGACTTACCTCGACCACACACGCTCTAGCGTCGCCACAAGCCCCAGGAACCAGCGGTCCACCAGGCCGTTCACACGCAATCAAGCACAAGCGATCAAAGTCCTCCCCACACGGGAACAGTCAGCGCAGGAGCACGACAACTCAAAGCCCCTGACTCTGGAGGAGGAGCAAAACGAAAATAACAACAGAGATTCCACACAAGCAGAAAAAACAACAACAAGCCAAACAAGCAGACAAGCAGACAAGCAACATTTCATGAACAAACCAATGCTTACAAAAGGGCTTGTGAGACTGCCCAGCCCGGCTACATTGGTCATCCACATTGGTAAGAGCGCCATGATCTTGCCGACGGAACTGGCCTCCACACGCCGTGAAGCCTGACAATGCGGAGCTACGCGATGCTGGTTTCAAGCACAAAACTTTCACTTTTCTTCCTGGCTGCGCTTGGCCATATGGTCCTGGGCCAAATCTTGACGGCACGACCGCTTGTCAGCGAAAGTTACTCCGATCAGTCGGACCCAACGAGCAAGTGGCAGATGCACGACGGAGCCTTTAGAATTAATTATAAACATTTCAACTCATGGATCTATATAGATAAAAAAAAAACTCCGCCCAGGGACATGGCATTCAAGACATCCTGCTACTCAACATGGTACACATCAATACGCATTTGCATAACGCCGTGGTCCATCGAGCAAGACCCTTTTGCCCCTCGACACGACTTAACAAGACCTGCAGCCTCCGGCGGTGATAACTCGGCAAGATCCCAACGTTTGAAATGAGGTTGGTACCGTTGATGTGTCGAGTTGATTATTCGAGCAAATCTGTATCTTGCTGTCGACGTAGTTCATACTGCCAAGTCCGCTCACACTGGTCAGAGCGCGATTGTACTGTCCAGATCAGCAAAAGTCCAATAAGTCGCTCATAAACACAACAACCTCAGACTCTGCTTGACCATGTTCACACGCACGACATTTCAAGTGATATGCTCCTCACACAACAACGTACTCTAATGTTCAAGGTGCCGTCGACGCTGGTGATGTTTCCAAGTCCATCCACGTTGGTCAGGGCGTCATTGTACTGTCCGGGTCAGGCAAACAATCCATCAGATGCCAACAAACACACCATCCTCACATTCTGTTTACCTGCGTTCGCACACACACGCCATTTCAAGTGGAACGCCCCGCACACAACAACGTACTCTAATATCCAGGTTGCCAACGAGGCTGGTGATATTTCCAAGCCCATCCACATTGGCCAGGACGTCATTTTCCTAACCGAGTCAGGCAAACAAACCATAAGACGCCCACAGACACACACCATCCTCATAGTTCACCCACGTCCAGAACACGCGCGACAGTCAACGCGACAAGCCTTCACGCAGCCACGCACGCTTATAACCAGGTCGCCACCGAGGCTGGTGATGCTTCCAAGCCCGTTTACATTGGTCAGGTTATCATTTTCCTATCCGAGCCAACACGAACAATAAATAAGTTGCTCATAGAAGCATCATCATCATCATTTCAATCCGCTCGCCCACGCGACATTCAAAAATGACAAGCCCTCACGCAGTCACGTACATCAATGTTCAAGTCGCCACCGACGCTGTTAATGTTTCCAAGCCCATCCACATTGGTCAGGGCGTCATTGTTCTATCCGAGCCAACAAACAACCCATAAGTTGTTCATGGAAACATCATCATCATTTCAATTCGCTTGCCCACGCGACATTCAAAAATGACGAGCCCTCACGCAGTCACGTACATCAATGTCCAAGTCGCCACCGACGCTGTTAATGTTTCGAAGCCCATCCACATTGGTCAGGGCGTCATTGTTCTATCCGAGCCAACAAACAACCCATAAGTTGTTCATGGAAACATCATCATCATTTCAATTCGCTTGCCCACGCGACATTCAAAAATGACGAGCCCTCACGCAGTCACGTACATCAATGTCCAAGTCGCCACCGACGCTGTTAATGTTTCGAAGCCCATCCACATTGGTCAGGGCGTTATTATTCTGCTCACAGCCCACCATAGAATGAGGATCTCAGAATCGTACATTCATCCCCATCGTACGTGAAGCGGACCATCGGTCAGGAATGTAATCTTGTGGGTTTATTTTGTGGTGAACAGTATCAAGACAGGAGTCACAGATCGATGCTTACTTGAAATCTCAAGCTCCCGCTCACGTAAACGAGTTTGTTGAAAACTTGCAGATTATCTGCCGTCAGCAGTGGGCATGATCTCAGGCTGATGTCGCCCTGGATATGTGTCACATTTGAGGTCACACCCGCCAGCTGACAGCCGACAGTGCCCGTGTACGTCACGGGCATGTCTGTAGGAGAGGCCGTGGTGCTGGGAGCCAACGTTGTTGTTTTTGATGTTTTTCCGGCATATATGTTGCGAATGTCGGTCAGCTCTTGAAGCACATCAACGCCATTCAGCAGCAGGCGCGTGTTACCACCCGTTGATGAGCTGTTGATGAAGAGGTTGCCATCCAAATCGACGCCAATGATGGGCTCGTCATTAACCACCGCAGGCTGTACCACTACCAGGCTTGTCGCCACAATCAGACTGTACACGACCCAACGCAGCACCATGGCGGCGTTGTCAGTCAGTCCACTGATGCCCGTGACCTTCACCGGAGCGTCATGCGCGCGCAAATCAAGAAAAAAAGGTCGGATGTCAAAAAAAATGAGTGTTACCAACTGAAAGTCGAAACTCCGACTTGATCGTCTGACAATTGATTTGCGAGCAAGCAAGCACGTCGTCGAACGGACGCACATGTGAGACAGAAAATGGCAGCGCGCTGCACATCGTCCGTGAACCAACATGAGCATAAGCCATCCTGTCTTTAGAGCACTTACCCCCATAGCTTATCCTGGTCTCTTCTTGGCAAAACCCAAAAATGTCTGCCCATGGCTTTCCAACTCGTAATCAGTTTTCGAGGTAGCACCCTCGTCGCATAACAGGCTTGCCGTTTAAGCATCGTCATGGTCAGTGAGGGTTCTTGGCGTTCAGACGCGACTGCAGCGACAGCGCTCTCGGATCGGGATCCTGCCGCCGGTACATCGGGTGCAAATTACATCCAATCGCACGTACAATTCGTCTAACAACTCGCCCGGGATATCGTGGGCCCGCCTTGTCCAAACGGCAGTCGGGAGTCCACACTATCCTCATGTTCAAACAAAGCACCTCGTGCTACCAGCTGCAAGGACGTGTGCTTCCCTTTGCTCCTGGTTTCGCCTGCGACCGCTGTCTGGAGAGAGCGCGCAGATGGCGTTGCACACGGCTCACAGGCCAAAGTCACGAGCCAAGCGGTGTTTTACCTCGAGCCGCTTAGCTGATGTTCCGGTGCCTTTGTATGGTACACAGTCTAGTACCAAGTACACGGCTTTTCACATCCGGGAATGTCAACCACCAAAAGACCAGCACACCGGTCACGGACACGTCGAGCTGCTCGTGTCACGCCGCGCCTTCCTGTTTTGTGTTTTCTTTGTTTCCTCTTACATGTGGTAGTTGTAGTATACTCT